TGTGAAAGTTCCGCGAATTGTCATTAATAATTTAGTTCCGGCGTCAATCCAGAACTTATGTTCGCAATTTCAGACCTGTTCAACATGCTTCGTGATACATCTAACAATAGTTATATTTGGCAGCATGTCAGTTGATATTTCTTGACATGGTCTGATTTTCAAGTTTTGTTCGTGCTCATATCCGCAATTCAACAACCATCAGCAGGGAAAAATACAGTTTTTCATGAGATTCTTGAATCTGTGACAGTTCGGGGTTTAATCAGCAAAATCCCGGAGTCAAATTGAAACAAATTTCTTAATACTGCAGAATGAAGATTTGTAATGAGTCATGCACGAACCACCGGATGATTATAACGTCATCCCTGCACTTTTCACACGATGCTAGGGTAAAGCTTGCCTTTTTAAAGTTTATAAAAATGTGATTTGTTATTCTTGAGAGAATCTTGAGTTTCTTGATTTGGCATCCTGTTCAACTCATGTTTCCCTTTATGTTCCCGAAGCAATCTTCATTATCCAGAAATAAAAGTAATTCGAAAGTTTCCACACAAGATCTCTTGCAAAAAAATAATTCCACGAATAACCAGATTAATCCAACCAGAGCAAATTTTTATCAGCTTGGTGCTATTTGCAAGCTGTTCAACTCGCATGTCGTCGTGATACACATACCTTTGTGATTTATTGCCAACATATATAGTGCTAAAGCAGATGTGGATTTTCAAATCAGTTGCTGCTTAAATTTGAAACGGTGTCTAAATCCAATGGGAATTGAAATAAAGAAAGTGGGATACTATGAGTGAGTCAATTGAAAGTGAAGTCTTTGTGGCAAATAGATTGTTAATGTATATACTGTACTTTTTTTCCTGAGTTTTCCAATTTGATCAAATAAAGAACAAGTTATGTTAGAAGTCTCTTTTGCTGTAAGTTCTTACTTTGCTTCAAATGTACAGTGGCCACCCACCTTACAGACCTCCAGTGTAAGGGATTTTCGCCAAACAGACCAGCTCTGCAGGCAGTTTTTCCTCCCACCCAACAGACAAAATCCACCAAACAGACTTCTTTTGGTTTGGTTTAAAATTAGTGTTGAAAATTGAAATTTTTAATTTTTTATATAATGGAATTCGTGTAAAGGACTTTTCATCTTACAGACTCGCCCGTTGCACAAATCAAGTCCATTAGACGGAAGTTGACTGTATATCTGTTGGGAATAACGTAAATAAAAAGGTTTTGGCTCGTATGGCCAGGGCTGTGCAACTGAATAAGACTTCTCTTTACTATAAGGCAAAGTGTGAACAGTTATATTTCTTATAGGAACATATTGCAACAAACACCAGACCAACAATGAGTGAGTATACGGAGCGTTTTGGCACTCCATTATAGATTTGGATCTCTGCAAGAAAGGTACATGACTGCACGTAAATAGAAATGGAACCAGGATGGTCAGAAGATAAATGACCAGTGACCAGACATTAGGATTGCAAAATCCATTTGGGAAATCCTACGCAAGAACAGGATATTCTTAACATGTTTTGCAACACACTAGAATTATAAGATGGCAACACAAATAACCGTTATTCAGAAAATCCCCTGCAAAATACTACGGACAAATTGGCAAGATTTCCCTGGTAAAATGCTCTATTTTTGACACCCTGTAATGTTGCTAAGGTAGAATTTACAAGCCATCAGAGTTATACGATAATTCAAAAAATTTTATCATGCCGGAATTGAATGAAAATGTGACCAAGAAAATAGTATGACATGGATTTTGAACCAGAATTCACGCTACTGTTGCATGTTACAAGGAGGGCAATCGTGATTTAGTGCAAGAAGTCGTCTGTGCCAAAAAAAACATGCAGTGTGCAGAGAAACAAGCTCAAACCCGCGAGTTTATTATTCATTAGTTAAGGAAGTTTTTGGCCATATTCGTCTTATTGACAACATGAGCGTTTCGAAGGTTAAAAACGAATGTATATAGCATATACAGCTGCTCTTTGTTCCAAAATTACTCTAATGTAAAATTTGTGCACTTAATTGAAGCCTGAGGATGATGAAAGTCTGCACGAAATGGTACTTGGCCAGATGGTACGCCCAAGATATAGTACGCGTGTTTCTCTCGAGAGTTAAAATTCACAAAAATATGTGAAATTCCTTCATTAGAATCATGATTCATAAATATTTAAACTTATTTATAACTTGTCAATGCTTGAGGAGTCCTACTCTCCATGTTGGTACACATAATCAATTAAGTGGTATAATACAGTAAAGTACAAACTTCGAAGCTTTCTTTGAAGGGTTCAAATAGACAAACTTGCCTTTGTTTCCTCGCTCGGTTCTCCGACAGCTGTGCTATGAGGACATGCGTATGAACGAATTCATATACTGCATGCAAATGCAATTTCATGGTGCAAAAAAATCTGCTTAGTTCGCCGAACCGGAAGGTTCTTTATCGCTGGAAAAAATAATCTCTTCTCCGTCTCGACTATTTTTAGATGAAAATCGCTACATGAGAAACAGTATGTGTTCCTAGAAATGACGTCCTGCCACTCCCTCGTAACTTCACATTCTCAACTGAAGAGAGAGTCCAGACAAAATAAAAAGAGCTAATGTTTTCCGGTCGAACGGGTTTCTTTTTTCGTATTTTTATTTATATTTATTGTTCCAATATGTACGTTTCGAAGGAAAAAAAATGTGACTCTGTTGAAAGGTGATCAAGAATTTTCCGGAACGAAATAATCTGAAGAACGGTGGACATTTTTATTGGATATTTTATCCTCAGGTGGAATAATGTGATGAACTGTTCTTTATCTTGTACGTTTGAAAAAAGGATTGCGAATTTACATGACAGATGTCGCACTCGTTTATATGTTTCCTTGTTTGAAGCGATGAAATTTTTTCTTTAGAGAAAATTGTGATTTTTCTCAATGATGCAAAGTACAGGTATTTTGCTGAAACATTTTTTTTTTCAGAAGGAACGCTATTCGATGGAAAATAAATTAAAAGTTAACTTCCGTTTCCTCAAGTAGCCCTCTTTTTCGACGCTTTAATTTCAACAAAAAATTTTAACGCGGGAAAATTGATAACGGAATTTGTTTTTAACCTGAATTCACGTCAAGGTAGAAAAGATGGAAAAAATCTTTCGATGAAGTATTCATGACGAAAGGAATTAATGGTCAATTTATTTGTCGGAGATTTCGTCAATCGAATGTGTTTTAGAAAAGCTCCACTCGACCCTCGTTTCCTGTTTCAATTCGACAGAATGCAAAAAAAATGAAGGTAATCTTTGTTCTGACGGAAGAAATAATTAGTCCTTCACCGTTACGATCGATCAACAACTGATCCTACTCACTCCTTATCTCCCTTCGCGAGAGACTCGACGGACTTTTTTTTATTGCGCCGGAATGGAGAAAGAAAAAGAAAACAGGAATAGGGAAAGAAAACTTGTCCTAAACGGCTTTTCCTGCTTGAATAAAACTTTCGAAATTTAATTTTTTTTTCTTCATCCAAGTGGTTTTGCGAGACGGAACAGGAAAGACCGAAGAGTGGTGAACTTACAGCAAGTCGTGAGCAAGCACGTCGAAATGAGCAACCTTCAATAGTTCGATTTTTCGCCATGGGTTCTCTGTTGGTGCCAGATTTCCTTCACGTCCTGGCCTCGAAATCGTCCAGTTCCACAGGTGAGGTATCATTGAATTTATTGATCAATTAAGTGCCACATGAATTATTGAACTCGATTCTTTGACTTTTTTTTCTCACTTACCTCCAGCGTCTCGTCGCGTATTATGAGCAGGACATTTTAAAAAGACGAGTTTTCTCAAGTTCTCAGCAGTGAGCGCATCAACTAACTACTGTATTGTCTGATGGAAAATATTTGTTGCATAGATTAATGAGGGAAAATATTATTCATTCTTTTTTGCTGCATTCGCACGTGTATCAGAACTTCAGAAGACTATTAACCAATTTCAACTCGTGATCGACTGAAAGGTTTTAGCAGAGATTATCCGACAGAGATTTGGAATGAAGTGTAAAATGAATTAATTCATTATTTTTACCTGAGGAGTGGCTCGAATCGAAGGTTCATACAATTTGCAGAAGGGTTCCGAGAGAGATATTTCTTTCGAAGAAGTTCTTCGATCGAGGATTAAAAGGCTGCGAGAAAAATTTGGGTTTGAATTTTTTTCAAGTGAGTCAAAGATTGACATTAATAAAGATTTGAAGCCTCATCGGTATTAAGATTAATTTAAATGTCTACAATTCCTAAAATTATCGATGACGGAATTTCTCTCAGAAACATTCCTGGTTTATAAAAACCTTTATGTACTAGTACAGTATTTGGGAACGAATTGTTTCAATCGAATTTGCTGAGCTGTGTTTATGAATTTCAAAGCAAAATAGTTTTATTTTCTTTTTATTCGTACTATAGGTTGACACACGAAGGCAGACTCAAACAACGAGCTTTCCTTCCTCGGCAAAAAAGAAAAAATCGTCCATCCGGGGAGCAGCAGCAGGAAGAAAGGAGAAAAACGGGAAATAATTTTTGCTGTCCAGCAAAAAATTAGAAAAAAAAATATTTTAACGGAAAAAACGAAAAATCAATCATGCTCAGTGAATACGACCCGCAAGTCTTGTACATCGTTGTTCTTGGATTCTTGGTGTCATTTGTGCTCGCTTTCGCTGTTGGGGCCAACGATGTTGCCAATTCTTTCGGAACGTCTGTTGGCTCCAAGGTTCTCACACTTCGTCAAGCCTGCATTTTGGCGTCCATTTTCGAGGTTCTCGGAGCTGTTCTCGTCGGTGAGTCATTTCATTTTAAATTTGCCGTCTTTTCAGCAGATCAAGTAGATTTCAACTCAATCGTAACTAATTCACAAGGGTTAACACCTTTTTGAAACCCTCGATTGACTTCCGAATAGCGTATCGTTCAAAATTAACAATGCAATTTGTCCTGTTGATTTGCTTTTCTTATCCATCAAATAAATCTCAAAGTTGAGCATATTTTGAAAATGTTCGAATCTCACTTTTTCAATATCTGCAAATCTATCAGAAGATTTTTCAATAATTCCAAGTAGTTTTCGTGGCTGAACTGCCGGAGAATTTATAAAACGTGGTCTGAGGCAGATAAACCTTAACTTACACAATAATGTTGCATTTTTCTGCGAGTAGATGTCACTGACTACTGCATGAGCGTCTGTTTCCTGCGCCATTTGCTTCTGTCCTTGAATTTATGTTAGTGAAAAGCTTTTGTTTCTATAATTATGACTCATCGAGAAGGAATCTTTGATTAGATTTGGAAATTCAGCACAAAAAAATTGCACTGTCATCAATTTTTAGCTATATTTTCACGCTTGAAATATGTTGGACACACATATAAAGACGAACTTCGGAAATCCTGATGAGAATGGAAGGATAATTTAATACGGATCGTTGCGCGTGCCATGACCTCAGAAATTTTTTTTTACCGTATCTATGAAGATTCCTTATTATCCAGATATTTTATTTAATGAAGGTATGCATAAAGTGTGGGAATCGACTTGTATCAATTGCTTTGACGCGACATCACATTCGCATCAGGGGCTCCCAGAATTGTAAATCCAGCAAGCAGACGTAGTTTCAAGTTTCTCTGCAAGTCAGGCATGGTTCCGAACTGTGGAGTACTTGACCCAGTGACCCAATGAGACTGCAAAAATAAGCCAGACACAGAAGCAAAAAATCTGCTAACTCAGTATTCTCGAGCAGCAGCAACATAATAAAGGCTGATCAAACAATGTACGGAAATCATAACACGAGTTCTAGTTAACAAACAGGCGCTTAAACCGGAAACGATGAACCAAATCTGGATCTTATAATCTTATAATTTAACCCGACTGGATTCAATCGTGTATCACAATTACTTTTATTTTCCGTGACGACTTCTTATGAAGTGTTTACGTAGTCCTAATCACCCGAGTAGAATTATGATTGTAATACAGTACTTTTGAAGTCGTTGACTCGTCTTCGATTTTCTCATTGTATTCCGTTGATTTAATATTTAAAGAAAAGCCAGAAACAGACATTCGAGTGTCCAAATGTGGATTATAATGTAGCTACTGTACAAAAATCAACGAAAGTTTTTTTTTCTGCGCTCATTTTTCAAAAAATTTTGTGTCGCAGGCGAAGAAGTTTATTTCGAATTATCGCACTCACGTGTTAATAATTTTATTCTCACAATTTCCAATTTTTCTGCTGAAGGATAGTTTCGAAGTTGCTACATATTATTGATTTCTCGACCGAAATTTGACAATTTCAATTGAATTAATTAATGTACTTCAACGAGTGATTTGCATTATCTTAATTTAGTGCCAGTGGGAGAATTGCGGATTTTACGACCTGGAAGTCGGCGGACTTCCTCTTGATCGTGCCCCTTTTACATTCTGTAACTTTCTAGTATTAGAAGTATGCTCGGAATGTTGTGCATAATTCCCGCTGCGCAAACCATTCGGAATGCTGCGAAAATCCGAGAAGCGCTTGCTTCAACAAGATGGGAAGAACTTTTGCGAAATTTCTGCGCACGGCCACATTTCTCAAGTGCCTTTGAAGTGGCAATATATGAACTACCTCGGAATAAAGCTGGAAGCCTGGAACCAACGCTTTACGTTAACTTGCTTTAGTTGAATAATTGCTCCATTTTTCTTTACAACGCCTATAAAACTTGCGTCTCGCAGAAAAATAAAATAAAAATGAGGAAGAGACCCTGTGATACCAGGAACTTACACCATCGCTTTGCCGCGTTATTATGAAGCCCTCTTATCTTGCGCAACTCCTGTGTCTATGTCATAACACTTGGGCTCTCCTTCCTGGATTTGTTTTTCCTTCCCCCGATGTATCATGATGCTGAACGTGGAAATTGCAACATGCTAAATTTTAAAATTGGGTCAGATTGATTTGTGTCAGTCAGTCATTCGCTGTAGGTAAGATTCTGGCGCTCATGAATCAATCGGGAGTTGAGTGTTCAATACGAGTTAATTGAGCGTGACGACTTTTATTTTAAATTCTGAGGGAGATTTGTCTTTCCAATATGCACTAAGATGAGAGGAATGTTGAATGTCAGATTAAACAATAAAAATTTTAAAACTAGGTTGGGTTGATTTGTGTCAGTCAGTCATTCGCTGTATGTAAGATTGAATGATCAATACGATATAAATTTACGCGGTCAATTCTATTTTTGATTTTTAGAGAGGTTTGTCTTCCGAATACATGTACTATGAGATAAGAGGAATATGTTGAATGTCAGATAAAACGATCACCATTTCGGAACAACCCTTTTTGGCTCCAGGACAGAAAAAGTCTCGCGCTCTACTTCCAATAAACCTATCTGTTTTAGTCATGGGTACAGTATTTTTTTTTTTAGTAAATGCGAATCAATGGGGAGGTTCTGACAGATGTTTTTGGCAATGGCCAAGATCTTAGATGAGCTGTCTAATGGTGATTTATGAATTGTTGAGATTAATGGTTTTCTTTGGAGTTGGGAAAATCTGTTTTGATCATGCATTGAATTAAGCGAAAATGTGGTTCAAATTTACAGCCTAAAGATTTTGCATGCTTCATTCTTGCTTGCTTGTTTTAATGCTTTTGCGAATATATTCAAAAACAAGATAAGCTTTCGAATTGCTTCAGGTACAGTATCTGGATTATACAATATTACAAGTACAAGTACAGTATTAATGTTCATATTTATAGTGTGACTTGAAAGTTTTTCGAGGAACTTTCGAAGCACATGGCATTGTTATTGTTTTGAAATTGTTTGATAGTTTAAAAAATGTCCTGATATCAATTATTGTGGTCTTGATTTCATGCACTTCCTCAATATTTCAGTTCCTCAATGTCGGTTATTTTCAAATTCTTCACGTAGTGTAGCTCATATCAATTTCGAATGCATTTTTCAATCAGCTTTTATAGAAAGTTTCTTGGAGTAGCGAATTACTTTTGAAGCAGCTACAATATGTTTAAAATGTTATGACTACATGATTTAAAAGAGGAAGAGCCGAAAACTTCATGAAATTTTGTGCAGTATTTTCTCATTTTGTAATATTCAACTACATTCTAATATTTAATTCTTTCCACACATCACGTTGAAAGAAGTGTCCACAATTTATGATTGAATGCTTCAAGAATAATTTCAGAGAGAAGTTTCTCGAAACATTTTCGAACCAGTTGGGATTAGTACTGTAGTTCCATTTTTTTTTAAATGAGGAAATTATTTTTGGAACTTTTTCAACATGCACGTGTCTCTTTTTGAAATGAGTGTAAATTATTCCTCGATTTCTCGACCGCACTCGAATACATTTTCAGCTCATTAATTGTGGTCCTATTTTTATGCATGAGAATCTCACATATTTCGTGAGAAGTTCCTTTATATTTCAATGTCAGCATTTTTATAACATACTCCTTTACTTCCGCGTCAATTTAACAGGAAAATCATTTATGAATTCTCTGAAAAATCGCTGACGCGTAACGTTGAAGGAAATGCTGTTCGTGACTTATGACTGAATGCTTCAAGAAAAAATTCAGAGAAATTTTTCATGAAATATCTTTGAACGAGGTTGCACGATTAGTTCAATTTTTTATTAATCGAAGGAATGAGAATAGGGAACTTTTTAAAAGCACCGTATGACTTCCCACGGATGCGCATGACTTTTTTTGACGGAGTGTGATTTATTTCTCGATCGCTTTTTCATATATTTCCAGCCCATTGATTCCGGTCATAATTGTATGCGTTGAAATCGAACATTCTTTTGTTCTTTAATTTCTCTAGATTTTTTGCATTAATTACTGTACTCCTCTACGACCTCGTCAGTTAAACGGGAAACTAATTTACGAATTTTCTGAAAAGCCGCTGTCGCATTACGTTGACTGAAAGAAAGACTTCTGACTGAAAGCTTCAGTAAAAAAAAAAAATCGTAGAATTTTTCTCACGAAATATCTTTCAACCTTCTAGTATTTTTAGTTCAAATTTGCATTAATGGGAAAGAATGGGATTTGAGAACATATTCAAAGTACTCCATGACTTGCCACGGATGCGAATGTCTCTTTTTGACTGTAATTTATTCCTCGATTTTTCGAACGCATTTTCAACTAATTTATTGCTGTCCAATTTGTATCCATCCACGCTGACATATTTCGGGAACACCGGCGAACACGTCTTGCATTTTTCAATATTTCCATCTTTATATAATGCTCATCTCCCTCCGCGTCAATTGAAGAGGAAAACAAAGTTACTTTCAAAATTTTTGAAAGAAAAAATCTGCTGGCACATCACGATGAAAGAATTTTGTCTATGACTGACGTGACTGACCGTTTCATAAGAAAAAATATCCGAGAGTTGTTTCACGAAGTATCTTTTAAACTTTTTGTATTTTTAATTTAAATTTTCATTTATGGAGATATTGAGCTTTGGGAACCTATTCAAAGTACCCCGCCATGACTTGCTATGGATGTGAGTGTTTCTTTTCGACAGGAATGTTATTATTCGCCAATTTCTCGATCTCAATGTCATGTACTTCAGCTAATCAATTTTCCGGCATTGAAATCTAATATATACATTTTTAGGAATTCTTTTATTTTTCAAGATTACCATTCTCGCCACATGCTCCTCTACGTTCGCGTCAATTAAACAAGAAAACATTTTTTCGAATTTTTTTTTTTTACAAAATCCGCTGGCGCGTCACGTTGAAAGAAGTGTTCGACTTGAGCTGCTTCAAGAAAAAAATCATGAAGAGGGTTTTCGCGAAATATCTCCGAACCTTCTAGGACAGTATTTTTGATTAAAATGTACATGAATGGAGGGGATGAGATTTGGGAATTTATTCAAAGTACCCCACGACTGCCACGGATGCGCGTGTCTCTTTTTGACAGGACTAATTTATTCCACGATTTCTCGATCGCATTTTCATTGATTTTCAGTTGATTGATTTTGGTCCAATTTTCCTGCATTAAAATCTAACGTGTTTCTTGAGGAACTCTTCAATTTTTCAGTACTACCATTTTTATCACACTGCTCCTCTACGTTCGCGTCAATTAAACAGGGAAATATTTTTTTTCGAATTTTCTGAACAACCGCTGGCGCATCACGTTGAAATAAGTGTTCGACGTGAACTGCTTTAAGAAAAAATCCAAAGAGGTTTTTCAAGAACTATCTTCGAACCTTCCTGGGCAGTATATGTATTTAAATATGCATTAATGGAGGGAACGAAATTTGGGAACTTATTCAAAGTACCCCGCCATGGCGGGCCCCGGGTGCGCGTATATCCCATCGTTCGTTCTCAATGGAAGCGATTGTCGAGTGTGTTTCCTCGCTCCGGGCTTGGCACTTTTCAGCAGCTCACACCACAGTGATGTTTATTACAGTTTCACGTGGAGTATGCGATTCTATGAGATCCCATCGTCATGGTTTTTCCGTGTGTGCGTTGCGGTGAAAAAGCTGTTGAAAATTTCGACTGCAAAATTTCGACTTCGAAAGTCGTCATAGTTATTATTTCCCCGCTGACGTCGGAAGTGGGAACGCATGTCTTTGAATTATTGTCCTGGTTCCTGATTTCGCGAAGGAAGAACCCCGAGTCATTCCTTGTCAGACAAGAATGGGAATAATGTTGAGTGAAGATTTTCGAGTTGCGAGTGCTTTGAAAAGGTTTTTTTTGAAAAGGCTTTTTGCAGAAGACGGTTTGGTGAGAAAAGTGAGAAATGGAGCCGTTCTCGTCGGAACTCTTGCCCCTGGTTGTAGCTGGGTTTATAATCGCGCTATTGCTGGCTCTGGCCTCGGGAGCCAATGATATTGCCAATTCTTTTGGCACGAGTGTGGGTTCGGGAGCTTTGACCTTGAACAAAGCTTTTATCCTGGCTACTATTTTTGAGCTGGCTGGGGTTAGTCTCGTTGGTGAGTGCCTGGACCAGAAAGACCTTTTTTCGTGTCAAAAGTTTGCATATTTTTTGATGAAATGAATTTTTACAAAACAATTGTTCGCTCATGAATTTAACAAGTCTTATGATTTAATAATCTAGGTGGTGAACGTAATTTTCAAAGAATAACTTGCCATACATTTGTCATCTTATGTTCCAGTGTTTGCTAACGTAAGTTGAAATTTAATCGAAATTATAAATAAATTTCCTACCCATCAACGATGGTGAAACGTTCATTTGTCGCACTTGCATGTTTCATCAACTTTCCGGAAATTCAAGGAATGAAAAATATAAATAGTTCAAATAATAGAAACATTGAGCGAAAACTTCTGGCCCATGTTCCAAAGTAAATGGGTTTCTAGTAATAATGGCGCTTCTGCTGATAATTTTGCGCGCGAATATTGACCTACTTTGCCAAATGGAGAGCAAGAAAATTGAACAAGTCGTGACTTCATTTTTAGACAAATTCAGCGGTTTTAAATGCCTTGCTTTATCATGCAGTATATCAATGCCTTGCAGAAAATTACTGGAATTAAATTTATTATGCTCCAACTCGGCATAATTACTCTTCGCAATTTTATAAAATTTCTATCGGGGTCTATCGTCTGTCTGCTAAAACCGGATTTGCTTGGCATGAAGAAAAATTATTTGAAACTAAACGTTCCCGTTCCAAACTTCACTTTTACCTTTGTTTTTCGATTTATTTACTTAGGGAGTATTTCCATTGGTATTTTCGACATGACAATTATTAAACGCCATTATTATTCATCGCTCTTATGCTCTGCAAATTTTTTTTTATGACCCGAAATATGTGATTCCAGGAGTATATTGCGTTTGACAAAATACGCTATTTAATTTTATACGAAGATTTTGAAGCGCAATGGAGTACAGTATTCGTAAATTGCATTTTTGTTTGTTTTGGGCTTCTGGAGGAAATGATTCGCGGAACTCCGTGTTGATCAAATTCGCGCGTCGTGTTACTCCCAGCAACCCAAGAAACCCGCGCCTGAAGGATCGAATTGCATGTACAATACAGTATTTAGGAGGCATGAATAGGATTCCTGTGAAGCCCGAAGAAAAGACAAAGCTATTCCTTGTGAATCACCACAAAGTCTCACATGATCAGCAGGTCATGATTCAAAAAGACCCCGAGCGAGGGAAAACCTTGGCATTGACCGAGACTCGACTCCCGTGTCAGGCCTCTTCGAATATATGCTGTATCTAGTGACATATTGACTGATTTTCCCAAGGCAACTTGTTTTTTATCCCTCTTGGCCATGAAAAGGAAGTCTTGGTCCATCTCTGTCTTGAGTTTATGTTGATTCTATGCATTCACCGGGTCTGAAATGAACCGACTGATCTACCCTGAATACTGGGAATAAGGACAGTATTGCCCCAAAAATCGTACTGCCTAAAGACGGTTCATGACCTCAAATAGGTCAATGTCTTCAATAAATTGAATTAATTCGCAATTGAATTTTTTTTTAAAGACGAAAGCCCAAAACAGCACAGAAAACAATTTCCATTCATGTCTGAATCACCGACGCGAGTGCGTGATTTTATTCAAACTTGAGTAGAATTTGCACAAATTTCAAGACTTTTCAATCTAGCTCATTTGAATTTGAGTACATTTCTTATTTTAGATCGGATCCAAAATTTCCATTTATTTCTGAATCACAGACGAGAGTCCGTGATTTTACTCACACTTGAATAGAAGTTGCGCAAATTTTAAGACTTTTCAGTTCAGCTTTTTTGAGGTGGAGTATTTTTTAGCTCAAGCGCAGTTGTAAATACTGTACTCTTCTTTGTTTCTATGGAAGAACACCTGCCAGACGCTTGAATATTAAAAAATTGAAATCGAACGGAAAAATACAGTAGCGTTTGGTATATTTTTTCAATGTGTTCATGAAGCTTTTTTTTTTTTTTTTGAGGATTGGGGTTTGAAAAAAGCCTAACTTGAGCTCTAATTTGGATGGAATGAGGCTAAATCCTGAACACTTGAAGCCTGAACATCAATTTACATTTCTGCGTAGTCATGAATAATGTTACACACGGATGACAAGTGATACAACTTGATCTACTCCACGTGACAATCGCTGTCATACAGTTCGTGACGCATACACACACTTGAGTTGCGTCTGCCTTTGTTATTTTTCAAGGAGTACAATAACAAGTACGAGCATTAGCCAGTATTACGACACATGCTTTGTAAATAAATAAATAATTTTGTGAAATGTATATTTTGTGATGGGGGGAAAGGATTTCCTTGCGATCAGCAAATATTTGACGAGTACTTTGATTTGCAGAAAACGAGGGCGGCTCACAAAACGCTGGATTTATTGTGTCTGAAGGTTTTCAATTCTTTCAAAGGAACATTTATTTATTTATTCTTCGTTCTCACAGGTTACAAGGTCTCGGATACAATGAGGAAAGGAATCATTGATGTCAACATGTATAACAACACAGAAAAGGAACTCATGTACGGCAGTTTGGCCGCTTTGGGTGAGCAACTAATGTACTTCTTTTGAATACGATGATTAGTTTCTCTGGGGGAAAAAAGTCAGGGATTTTTAACGGCCTAGAGTTTTTGAAATGTTGTTTTTCAAGATCTCTTTAGAATTGAAATTTGAAAATTTTTCGGACAACCAAGATTTTTTTCTTACCAGTCAAACTTTTCTCGGGCTGTGCGGAAAATTGGTTCTTGCTTTTGAAAACTATGTGCCTTAAAAAATTGATGTAATCGAGATTACAAATGAATTATTTATTATTTAGGAAAGTATTTCAACAGAAACGTATTCCCACCGCCGTGCTTCGAGATAAAATACGATTGTTAAAAATAACTTTTTTCGATTTTTTAAAGTTATGAAGGCTTGAAAGAGAATTGAGACGCAGCTGTTTTCGCTTGCAAACGTATAAATTGCTTGCCGACGTTTCATTTCATTGCTTTATCAACTTTCACAAAATGTTGGTGACAGGTGGAAGTGGAATTTGGCAAATTCTGGCGACGTACTTGAAATTGCCAGTATCGGGAACACACAGTATTGTCGGAGCAACTGTCGGGTTCTCTCTAATCGCACGAGGCACTCAAGGAGTTCAATGGCCTGCCCTTGGAAAAATTGGTAAGGTATTTTGAGAAATCTACCTTCTGAGAGAAAATATTTTGAGAATGAAATAAGCCTGATTTTTTCACGATATAAGCCGACCCCGCTACATAAAAAATGTTTTTGAGCGGACTGAACGACGCCAATTTTTTTCACGATGAAACTTTCCGTGTTTTCGAGTCTTCATGTAAAAAGTTTTTTGTGCCAAAATTTTTTAAAATTTGGATTTCCTCTTGTTTAATATCTAACATCCCGAATTTCAGATTGACTCAGAAATATTGGGGTACAGTATTAGTCCACTGTGTGAAATCACTCATTGACTTCAAAGAATTTGTAACCCAACATTGTACATTGGGGGTATACCACTTCAATTTAATTAAATTCAGTTTTTGACGATTTGCGTTCGAAGATTCAGATTGAACTCATTTCAGATTATTTTTCGTTTAGTTTCGAATGGTCACTTGAAATCAGCCAATTCGAGTTCATTCAACTTGAAATTTAAAAGAATTTGGCGGGTTGAATACTTTCTTTTTTTATCGGCCCGAAAATTATTGAAGAATTTCACATATACAAGGGATTCTTCAAAAGTCTGCTGACACCAAGAGCTTTGAATTGCAAGCCGATAAAAATGGCGGTCCATTTTCAGTAATTATTGATTCGTCTGTACGATGCTCATCCCATTTAAGGATATGATGATGGAAATGGAATTTTTGCATTTTACCTATAATTGTAATCAATGAAGAAACCCTCATCATAAGAAAAATCTTTTTAAAATGCTATTTGATTTTCCGTTGAGGGTTTTCCAACTTTTCCCCAATTTTTTTCTGCTGCAGTTTATTCAGGAATTATCAGCTGTCCTCTTAAAATGCATCTAAGGTTTTTCTTTTCCCGAAATCTTCACGTAGAAAAGGTATTGGTACATGAATTTACCTCAAAACACATGCTGAAGCCCCGTAACAGCAATTGTATGCAAATCTGAGAATTTTTCATTTTTTTGTTGTCCTATAGTTCGTAGCAGACCAATAAGGAAGTCTTTCAAGAAAATGTGACATCTGCCCTTCTCAACTGAAAATTCTCGCAAGAAATGCATGCATAAATTGTATATTATTTTCCGAATTTCTTCTGGACTGAATTCGAAAAGCTTTTTTTTTTTTACAAAATGACTGTCTTTGAAAAGTAACAGATAAAAATAACAAATTTGTGGATCATTCACGAAAAATAAAAATAAATTTCTGTCGTTTGAAGTTCATGACTGATCTAAACGCATACACGCAAAAAAAAAAAAAAAAAAAAAAAAAAAAAAAAAAAANAAAAAAAAAAAAAAAAAAAAAAAAAAAAAAAAAAAAAAAAAAAAAAAAAAAAAAAAAAAAAAAAAAAAAAAAAAAAAAGCGAGTCCCTCGCGTCAAGAACCTCGCCAATCCACTTAAAGTGCACATTCCAAGGCGCTACTCATCAAGTGGTTTCGATAAGTTCGCTCAACTGGATATTCCACGACTTCTTTCGCCTTTCAAATATTGACATACAATTGACTAGACACGAATGAAAACGAGTCTCGGCTAGTTTGGATTGTTGAAAAATTGTATCGATCCTTATCTCTTTCGTGAGGGGGCTCATTTGTACAGTATATAAATACGTATGAACCCTCTTCGAGCCCCTGTTAATTTATTTTGGCTGAGGCACTCGGTCAAGGACTTGCAAAACTTCTCCCGCTGACAAACGTGAAGCGCACAATTTTACCCACTGCAAAAGAAAAAAAAAAAGTAGCGGAGGACTCGAGAAATCAAGAAAAAAAGAGAGAACCTGGGTCGATAAAGTTTGGCGACAGGCCAGTCGCTGAAAGATTGCGAAATTCGTCACACGAGGTGACTTGGCATCCAGCATTGAAAGCTGCCCAATTAAACCGCCTGAAAATTGGAAAATGGGTGTGAAATACGGAGGGGTTTATTGAAACATCTGAGAATTGCAATCACATTTTGGCGCTAAGTACAGGTATTTCTTTTTTAGCACGAAACTTGTCCAAAGGTGGTACTTGTACCAATGTTGTTGAAAGCGCTTCACCAGGGTACTACAAAAATATATCGTGACAGTTTCCAAAGATTTTTTGAAGTCATTTTTCTCCTGGAAAAAATGAACACACTTTGGTTAATGGTTTTGTTTTGAATTGCTGGCTTTTCAATTTTTCCAGAGAAACAATTCGTTTGTTATTTTCTTGCAGCTGCTTCTTGGATTTTGTCACCATTGTTGTCTGGGGCTGTTTCGGCATTCGTCTACGCCCTGATTTATTTTGCCATTTTGCGAAGGAAACATTCCCTGAAGGCAGGTTTGCAGTACTTGCCACTGATTTATGCGATTGCTGTTTCAATCAACCTTTTCTCCGTTTTGCACGATGGACCTTCATGTGAGTACCGTTTCGAGATGATGAGACTCATTTTTGCTAATCTCGTTTCTAAATGGAAAAAAAATTTATTTCGGTAAATCACCTAATGGTTTGTGGTTCTTGTCTTCAAAAATTGCATGGAGTATTTTTTTTATAATTTCTCGAATGCTTCTCGATTTTTCTCCCAGGTTGCAGAAAGAAGACATGAAGTTGATATTGCACCACAATACTTTTTTATTATCAAATAATTGGAAGTATTGATCGATGTCGATTCTCAAAATGCAGATCCTGTAACTATGTGCCGAATTTAAAAACTTTTAATCATCGAAATGTCTTTGTTAATGACGTTGAAAGCTAAGATTTCCAAAAAGGTGAATGTTTGAGTGAGAGTTCCCCCAATTCATGTAATCACTAGCAATCAACATTTGCGCACCGAAAATCTTGCTGAAGGTGTTTTTTTTCGAGGACTCTGACTCAGAAAAAATAATTTAAAGTACAATACTTCATTTCGATACACTGAAAAAACTGTAGAACGATATACCTCGTCTACTATGAAATGTATTCCGCATGCACCATGTGCACTGCGATATTTTTTGCACGCAAGAAATGCCTAGAAGCCCAATTGCATTTTTATTATTTTTCAGTGTTGTTATTGGACCGGGTTCCTTGGTGGGGATCCCTGCTGGCTGCTGTGATCATTGGAGCTATTGTTGCTGCTATTGTTCGGCTATTCGTCGTGCCGAAACTGAGAAAAAAGACAGACCATTCAGGCTCTTTCTCTAGAAAAATCTGCGAGTTGAGTAAGTGCAAACTTTAGCAATCCCAAAAAGAAAACCCAGCTATCGAGATCATAAAAATACATGATTATTTATTTATTTGTATTTCTCAGTAAGCAAACAAAAGGCTTTGTGTGAGAATTCCCCGTCGCCCGAAAAGGATATTGCGCCAGTGGTGCGGTTTTCTGGTGACAGCGGAGTGACATCAATCTCGGACAAACATCTCGTCAATGGCACCAACGCCACTCATAATAATCACCATGATCATCATCAGCATCATCTGAGTCATCCACTGTCGGATCAAAATCACTCAGACCCGAAAGAGACGGAATCGAAGAGCCCCATGAGTTCTCAAAACGGTTGCAAATGCAACGTAAGCAAAAAAATATGCTTATTTTGTTCGAATCTGACCGTTGTTTTTTGTTGTCCGATATACCATTAATTTGGTAACCATTGTTTTCGAAATTTACTTTCTGGACTTGCATTAAAAATAAGAGTGTTAATCATTTGATGACTATTTTTCCCCCGTGAATAAAAACAAACTTGAGAATTTTGTCGCTTTCGATTTGATGGGATTCTTGGGTATATTCACAGTATTTTAAATTTGAATCCTAATTCATCTTGGTAAATTCACATACTTTTTTGAAGATCTTATAAATGCTATACTTTGGGATATTTGAGTAATTCGGTATATTTTATTTTTTGCTATTTTTATAGGAGTCGGTTTGCAGTGGGTCAACGACGAATGACACAACTCAACTGAATAAATCTAGCGTTGCTTGTGGATGCGTGGTCATTGATTGCGCTGGAGTACCTTCAGATCCTGGTGAGTTGAATCAAAAAATGAATAAATTGAAAATACTGTACTTCGGAATTTGAGTTACGATCTTATTTATGATCACTCCGCAGGAAATTCGACATCAACTGAAGTTCACGCCCCGCGACAATCTCGGCCGTCGTTGGGACTTCAGGTGAAAACAAGCATTATTCTTATTTAAAAAAAATATTTTTTTGAAATCAAAACTACAGTCTTGTCAATATTCTCGTAATTCTATTTTTTTCCAAATCTTTTGCGCAGTTGAGTGAAGAAGATTCGAATCCAGCAGACCCGATTTTCTCGTTCCTGCAAATTCTCACGGCTTGCTTCGGGTCTTTCGCACACGGCGGAAACGACGTGAGGTAAGAAAACGCTAGGCTTTGAAAAAGAAATATATTCATTCGTTTTCCTTTTTTGAATTCCATGTGATTGTCTGGGAATTATAGCAACACAATAGGGCCTTTAGTGGCGTTGTGGCTGATTTACACTGAGGGAAACGTGGCGCAGAAGGCGGAAACGCCAGTGTACATCCTACTCTATGGTGGGGTCGGAATGGTGATCGGGTTGTGGATCTGGGGTCGAAGGGTCATNGAATGACACAACTCAACTGAATAAATCTAGCGTTGCTTGTGGATGCGTGGTCATTGATTGCGCTGGAGTACCTTCAGATCCTGGTGAGTTGAATCAAAAAATGAATAAATTGAAAATACTGTACTTCGGAATTTGAGTTACGATCTCATTTATGATCACTCCGCAGGAAATTCGACATCAACTGAAGTTCACGCCCCGCGACAATCTCGGCCGTCGTTGGGACTTCAGGTGAAAACAAGCATTATTCTTATTTTAAAAAATATTTTTTTGAAATCAAAACTACAGTCTTGTCAATATTCTCGTAATTCTATTTTTTTCAAAATCGTTTGCGCAGTTGAGTGAAGAAGATTCGAATCCAGCAGACCCGATTTTCTCGTTCCTGCAAATTCTCACGGCTTGCTTCGGGTCTTTCGCACACGGCGGAAACGACGTGAGGTAAGAAAACGCTGGGTTTGGAAAATAATAAAATATTCAGTCTGATTCCTTTTTTGAATTCCATGTGATTGTCTGGGAATTATAGCAACACAATAGGGCCTCTAGTGGCGTTGTGGCTGATTTACACTGAGGGAAACGTGGCGCAGAAGGCGGAAACGCCAGTGTACATCCTACTCTATGGTGGGGTCGGAATGGTGATCGGGTTGTGGATCTGGGGTCGAAGGGTCATTGAAACCATTGGCACTGACCTGACTCATATTACTCCCCACAGGTAAAGTAGATGTCAATTTCTGCGTCATTTTTGGCAAATTTGCTGGTAGAATCTGCTATTTTCTTTGAAAGCCAAAAACAGTTGGAAAGTTTGTTGGCTGTCGATTTTCATGAAGAAATTGATGAATTATAATGAGTTTTTGTTTTCCATGATTTCAATTTGAATAATCAAAAATTGATCTGAATCATTTGAATGGCAATATATCAACCAACATAAATTGGAAAGTTCCATGGCTTTTGTGTCTGTGTGGTCTTCAAGATTTTCTCTTGAATTTGAAAACGAATCTTTAATATCCTTGAAGAAACATTGAAAATTATGTAATACCGTACACAACCTTTCCGACAACAAAAAAGGGGTTTGGAAAATTCCCATCAATTCCAAAACTATAGATTGTGGATTTTATTGTAATCATAATATCGCGTGTCATGTTTCAATGGTTTGAGGAAGGTCGCCGTTAACTGGTAGAGATAAGGGTTGTGTTTCCCGGTAAATTTCACTGCAACATAATTTTACAAAGGCCAGGTTTGATCAATAAATGTGTCTGTAATTTCGGTATGCAGTACTCGTATGGTACTATCCAATAAAAATCCCTGGTCGCGTGAATTTTATATTTAAACTATGTTAATGTTTTTTTTTAATGAGATGAGAACCCTTATCCGCTGTTTGGCTTGAAGTTTCGACTTCAGAGGGTCTTACTTTTTAATGTTTTTTTAATGAAATTGGACATAGGCTGTATTTGATTAATCATAAGTTCTTTGTGGGGTTTCTTCATAGTGGGTTCACGATTGAAATCGGGTCTGCAATGACGGTGCTTTTGGCTTCCAAGATCGGGCTTCCCATCAGCACAACTCATTGCAAAGTTGGCTCGGTCGTCATCGTCGGCTCCATCGTTCACAAATTCCAGCAAGGCGTCCAATGGTCAATATTCAGGTTTGTTTTCAGTTTCTCAAATCCCTTAACCAAGACATTCGATTCGAGGTTTTGTATTGAAAATCGTGAGTTTGATTATAATCTGTCGTATCAGATTCTCAGAATGCTGTATACAGTTGGATTCTTCTCGTTTCGACGCTCAACCTTTTTGTTTTGGGAAAACGTTGGACAGGTGTCGCCTGAAGCACCAACCTGAGCATCAATGTATTTAAATATTGTAATTTATTGTGTTTTACTGGCTAAGCTGGTCTTGTCGCTCATATTAAGATCTAAATAAAATAAAATCAGTAGAAAATTCAATTGGGAAACAAACGAAGACACAAACTAGGAGTTCTGGAAAATTTCGAGAACAAATTGAGGAGTCGGTGACTTCGGGCATTTAGGTGAAAAGAATTAATATTTCCGCGTCTATGAGGCGAAAACGAGACAAAGAAACAATAGAATACAGTATAACGGTATTGCTGATTTTGTCAGGGATAAGGAAGCATGTTATTGTTTTGATGCGTGGTTTTATTTTATTTTTGCAGGAATATTTTGTTAGCGTGGATAGTAACTGTGCCTGTTGCTGGAGGAATCAGCTCTCTGCTCATGTGGCTGTTCCTTTCATTCGGACTCTGATGAAAGCAGCTCCGAAATATACAATTTTTTGTTTTCCTTCGCGAAGGAAGCTGGAAGAATTAGAAAGAGGGAAAAAATACGAAGCTTTCGTTACGCGAAAAAGATTTTGTCAAAAAAGGAATGTTTGTTTTCCTGGTCGCTATTCGAGAGATTCTTTTCGGGATGCGAAAAAAAAGATTAGCGGGCCTCTTCACACTTCTGACGCCACAAAAAAAAAATCAATGGAAAGCTCTTTTTTTTTCGAGGCGAAATTCGTGCGGGATATTTTTCGAAATGAGAGAATTTTTTGGGAGAAAAATTAGATCTAGTGAAAATGGGGTCCGAACAAGTTTTTCCCTTCGTTTTGTTCGCTGCTCGTTTCTTCTCTGGTCAGATTATTTATTTCACTTCATCCGATTGCAAGTGTTAGCTTTTCTTTTTTTGTTGCGAAAAGTCCTGTGGAAAACGGACGAAAACCGGTGGAACTACTCCAAGCACTTCATCCAGCAGTTGATGGATTCAGCAGAAGATGATGATCTTATTTCTGTTCATTTTTTTGTTGTTCCCGATGATGCCTGGATTTTTTAGTACATATCCCGTAAGGCAGAGAAATGAAGATGAAAGCTTTGCGGAAACCTCTGCAAAATGAACGCATGGTATTCATTTTTTTTTTGTAAAATGAAAATTTTTAATAAAACAGACGGGGAGTCTCTTTTTTTTTACAATAACCACAATGACTTCCCTTGATCAAATTGACGGCAAATCAAATTTCTCTCGTAAAACAAATCAGCACGAGTCGCGTTTCAGTAATTCATGAACATCGCTATATCCACAAATTATGGTTTGAGAAATTCTTGCATTCGAAACACAATCTTACACTTCGACATTTTTTTTTTTAGAAATAAAAACTCTTACTGTACAAATTCGAAATGCGCCTACGAAAAGTTTTTTTTTCAGCACATCTGGGTTCAATCAAGATGGTCCAATTTGAGAAAAATCAAATTTTGTCCAAGTTGTTTCGAGGCAAGAAAGGCGGATGAGAAGAAGGGGTCAAAGTCCACAAGTTGCACAGCAGCCAGACTTGAAAACTTGATATTTGCAAAGTCTTGCCTGGTAGATCATGTAACAATTGCGAGCAGTGTCCTCGCATGCATTTCCTGAGTAATCGTCGTCTTCGTTCGGCACTGAAAGATAAATTTAATGGCAATTATTGAATTGATGGACAATTTTTGAAAATGTCCAGGATATTACTTGTAATCTATCTATGTTTTCCTGAATAAATCGGAACATATTTTTGATAGTTTCAGTTGCTTTTTATCGGAAAATGAGACTAAGTGAACGTAATAAGTCCTTGCATAACTCTAGCATTATTTCTGATGCTGCTGCCTCGAATATTCGAGGGTTGTCCCACTTGGGCGCAACCTCGGTTATTTCCAGTGTAGGTAGAACTGTAATAAAGAATAATGACTCTTTATATAGCCAATGATGTTTCAATAAGGTTCTGGAATTTTTTTTCGGATTTTGAGGGAAAAAATTCCAGTTTATTGCATCATGTCCCGGGAAAACTTCCAGTTACGGATGGAATTCTCCACCCATGTCACAGGTTGAAAAAAATTTTTCAGGCCACATGATAATTTTAATTTTTTGTTATTTAAACATTATCTTTTCTTCATTTTTGATAATGTTAAAAAAACAAAGACATGTCAATTTTCAGCTGTTCTGACAGATTTTTAGTACCCTGTGAGTGAAATTGAGGACAGATGTCGCCTCAATATAATTAGGTGTAAAGCTGGATTGGAAAGAGTAAGTATTAGGTAACAAGTGAGACGAAGCGTAAATATTATGTGCCGAACAATAAATAGTTCGCCCTATTGCCATTTCTCTGCTTTCCTGAATGACCTCCCCCTGAAATACCAGGACCTATATTTTTTCCATTGTTAGTTTGAAGATACAGTATCTTCATTACCCCATCTTCATGAAGGTGATCATCTTGTAAGAAACGCTTTTAAACCTGTGAACAGCCTGCAATTAATATGCAATTCGTGAATAACCCAGAAAAATGAAACGAGATTTGACCCCAAGACGCATAAGAAAAATAAAAATAAACCAGAAACCTCGTGTCATTCATACATAGAATCAAGGAAAAGGAAAATTTCCTTCTAAATATCATCAACCTTTGGGATACCCAAGAAGATTCATAAAGCGGTTCCGCCATGAAGAAATTTATTTTTTAGAAAAGGCTCCGTGGATCAAAAACATAAAATGAGAGATTTTTTTTTCTGGAATTTCACAAACCTGCAGTGCTGGTTGTTGAAGTGCTCGTAAGAATACTCGAACTTGTTCTAATCCCAGGCTGTGTGTTTCTGATGGAATCTTCATTTCCCAAATCTTCATTCGCTATCAGTCTCTCAACGACTGGGTGGAAAATGGCTTCTTCTTCTGCCCGAGCAGCGAAATTTTGCGTGCTTCGAGGAGAGCTGTTTTCAGCGACAAAGGGCTCATCAGCAACCACGTGAGAGTTCATGAGGCAACCAAAGTGGGACATTTCTTCTGGGCTACAATCCGTACTGTTCCTGGGTTTCTTTTCCTGGGGGCATTGGGAATCAAGCACGATCCCGTGCTCGTCGTCGAAACAAACGGCCGTTCTCTCTCGTTTCCTGCTTTCACATGAGCACTTCCGGAGAGAAAAACGAGGAACGAATTCGGATGCAATATTTACTCGTAAATGCCTACGATTTTATTTTAAATTAGGCTATTATACAATCTGTGTATTTTATGAGGGATGGTTGATAAGTTTTGAGACTTTTGAAATCGATCCAACGGAGTTTAAACCAGTGTTCTCCAACCCGTGGTCCGCGGACCGACGCCGGTCCACGGAATTTTTTTTGCCGGTCCGCGGGAAATTTTCTCAAGCATGATACATTTATCAAAAGTAGCCACGAGGGGCAAAGTTTCAGTGTGGTTATCTAAAAATTTATTGGCAAAACAATGGCAGTGAAATTTCTCTCATGAAAAATGAGCGCTGGTTTTTCTCCTAATATAACACTTCAAGACAAATTTTCACCTTGTGAAAATGAATTATTTTCATTTTTCATTCTGAGAAATGTTTCTCCAAGCCCACCTTTCTAATTTCCAAAGACATTTCCACTAAACCTACTTCATTGGCTAATAACCTAATTTTTTTTTTTGCAAAGAAGCAGAAACTTCTTCAATAACTACCGTGAAGTATTTCAGGCAAAACTTGTTACAGTGTGCAAATATTTTATGAAACTTTGCCAGTCTGCAGAACATTTTTTTTAATTTGCCAGTCCGCAAAAAAATTTCATGGAAATTTGCCAGTCTTCGGACTAAAAAAGGTTAGGGAACACTGGTTTAAACAATTCCAAAAAATTTTACTCGCATATATCCGCATTATTCGGCCACACTTCAGTGTTGTTCAACAAATTCTCCGTCAATTTCAATGAATTTCTACATGTGATGATTGATCCAACGATCAAAACAGTGCCAAAAATCGAGTTCTGTTAGTTGATTAGGCACCCTGTGATTTCCGGGTGTTCCCGACAGTAAAAAAATGAATTGAAATGAATAGATTTTGAGGATAGGGACAGCTTCATTTCCCCCATGAAAGAGCAGCTTAATGAACCAACATAACTCAATTTTGGCACTGTTTTGATCATTGAATTTATCGGACAAAAAATCCATGGAAATCGGCGGAGAGTGTGTCGAACAGCAATGAAGTGTTGCCAAATACTGGCTATGTGAGTAAAAAAATAAACTTTTGGAATTGTATAAATTCCGTTCGATCTACTGTATTTAAAAAAGTTTCAGAACTTATGAACCAGCCCTTGCATTATTTCCAGGTTATCATTTCTGAGTGTTCTAAATAAAATACTTACGTCTATTTTCTCCTCTGCAAACCATCTGGGGGCACAATGTTCCAGACCGCATTTTTCCTCGTTGTGAGGGCGATCGACGACAGGACAATTGGTTTCACCAGGGCCGATGATTTGACCAGACGAAGAATTGATTTCAGCACAAAATACTCTTCTGTGCCGTTTGCCTCCTCCACAACGAGCAGAACACTTTCGAGATCATATGGAAGGAAATCAGCATTAAGATTCCAACTGACAGAGACTAAAATCACTAAAAAAAACCAAGAACTCTATAAAACATTTCTTATTTAAAAGGAATGCGTAATTTATATGCAATTTACCGCTTAGTCGATAAAATTTTCAGCAAATGTGAAGCATACATTTTGATTCCTTGTGGGCTCATGAATGGAATATGCCGCATTTCAATTTAATCTTTAATGAATTTTTTTTAGCTTGAAGTTCTTGATGATCATGAAGAAATACTATGTGAACTTGTGAAACACTGCAAAGCGATCAAAACGGAAATATTTCCGCACATTTTAGTAGCTCAGAACGGTTTCGTAAAAGGGGCGAATTTCCCGATTTTTGCCACTATTTGAAAAAGCGGGAAATAAAAATGCTTTGAAAATGTTTGATTAATGATGTGTTGTTGCGATTGATGAGTTTCTCCACATGGGTTTATATATAAGTTATACAAGTTTTTAGCTGATATTATATGAAGAAATATGCTGGCTGATATTCTATTAAAAGCACTTCGATTCGGTCTCCGAATAATGTATCAATAGTTATTCATCTTTTCTAGTTACTTTGATCAGGAATTTTTAGTACATCGCGAGAATCAATTCGGCGTTTTTCTTTTCAAAGATCACGCAGAATATTTTAATGCTGATCAAATTTGATCGAATCACGTCAATGAAATATGCCGCAGACGTGAAAAATTAAATTATTTTCTTGGGGGGGGGGGGGTATTGAATTACCTCTGTCCATGTTCCAGTGACCCACAGGAATTCCTTTTCACTGGATTGGGTCTCAGAGCAGGAAATATTGGACACAGTGTTGGCACAATGGGTTTCCTCTTTGGGTTTCCACTCGGGATCACAATCCCCACCGAAACATTTCACTTGACGCTTCCTGAATGCCCCTTTTTGATCATTTTGACATGAAGTTGGCTGCGTACACTGCGGAAGACACACCCAACACACATCACATGTTTATTGAAAATATTCGGCAAACTCTTTCTTTAATGCATTCGAACATCTTCAAATTGAATTACAATAAGGTACCAACGAAGAATATTCGAGTTTGGGAGGTTTCTATTCAAGAAAACAAGCAATTTTTGTTGGAGGAAAGACAGAATGATGGCATGAAATCGTAATTTGTGATATTTTGGGCCTTCAATTGCTTTTCAAATGAATTGAGAGTCTGCTTATGATGTTGGAGGCAAGGGTTATTTACCGATTGGTCTTTTGCTTTCAGTCAAAACACATTGTTGAATTTGTATTGCTTTCCTCTTTCCAGTGTCAATGAAATAATAGCCAAACTGTCTGCAGAAAGTTCAATTGAAGAAGGTTTGAGGGAAAGCCTTCGAGTCGGAAAGATTTTTATACTGTACATTGTTTCTAAGAGAATTCAGACAGTGACTTGAAAAAATGTACATAGGGAGGTACTGTATTTGATTCAGTTTATCGCGGTTCAAATGTATTATTTTTCTGTAGTGGGTATTTTGAGTGAAGTTAATTTTTCTTATCCCAGAAAAGCTGACGATAAAAATGCAGGATTACCTTAACTGAAAGTATATTTTTCGCACGTTCATGTTTCGCTTGTGATAATCGCCGCGGTGAAAGTGAGAGTAATTTTTGCACATGAATTGGCCATCAAAAACTCATAAAAAAGGGGAAATTTCGGTATACTTACTGCTGAATCATCCCAGTCCGAGACAAACCAGCCCTTGATATTGTCAACGAATTCCTGGTGTGCCAAAGTGACGAATCGGTCAGAAGAACAAGCATTTTCCGAACAATTTGTTGTGTCTTCGGGTCTAGTCTCCATATTGCAAACAGCCGTCCATGAACCCGTAGAATCATTTGTGTTACCACCAAAACCACAAGTAACTTCTCTTGTCTTGAATCCGTCTCCACAACTCGCACTACACTGCGAAGTTTAAAAAAAACGCTAAAATAGCATACATCAAGGGAAAATAAATGAATAAATTCAAGAACGATTCTATCTAACGGAACTTTTTTTTAGAAATCTTCTCTCCTTCCTTTGAAATATCGCGATGGAAATAATTAGTTATTTTAGCTTTCAATATTTAGCCTGCTCGAAGAGCATCTCAACAGCCGTGAACAAAAATGAGTCTTCCATCCGGATTCGGTAACAGATCGTGAGACCTTGGAAGCTTCTACAAAAGACTGCATAAGACAGTTTTAAATCTCTCTAGTAGGTGTCGCTCACTTCAGACCACGGTCCGACAACCCATGCGTCGCAATGCCGCAATAGACACGCTCTCAGTGTACTTCCTGGTTTCCGAGTATTACATGCGTGATCCGGTCTATTAACGATCACCATTGACGTCATACGTTGTTTGCACTCCCAGGTCCGTTCTTGGACTCCGGAGTCACAGGGTTTGCTGCATTCACCCCAGTCTCCCAGCATCCATCTGCATCGGAAAAATGTTAGAATTTGATGATTCTCAGAAAAATGTGTTATTATTTTTATTTATATGCAGACATACAACCTCTTCAAGTCGAATTTCAGGAGAGCAACAGCAAAATTTAGTTAGGTAGGTTTCAAGTTAGGGAAATGGACATTTTTGACGGCGGGAAAGAAGTAGGAATTGCAGGATATTGTAATTGGTGACATTTTGTGCCTTGCATTGATTCTTTAATGAGTTGACAGGATGCTGAAATTGGATGCAAGGGTTCATTTGCCCAAGTCACTTTTCAATTCCTTTCAAAACACATCAAGATATGTTCTTATTACTTTTCATGCGTCAATGTAGCCAAGACGCCTCCAGAAATTTGAGTTTTTTAGGTTTGAGAGGTAAGCCTTTGAGTTAGGGAGGTATTCAATGCATTGTTTCCAAAGGAATTCAGACAGAGACTTGAAAAAATTGACATAAAGAGGTATTCAACTTGGGGAGGTGTGAGTTATCATGGTTCAAGTGCATAAAGAGTTGGGGAATGGGTTGGCACACCTAATTTGCTGATGCATCATGAAGCTTATATGCGGAAGAATATACAATTTAACACAAAATGTCAGCTCATTGAGAGAAAAAGCGGACATTTATAAAATTTACACCGAAATACTTCACTTTCCTTTAATTTTTTAGTACCCAGCTTGCTAAAATGGAAAAGTTGTTACTGCTGTACTGTACAGGATATGGCTTTGATATTATCTGAGGTATTTTATCCATTTTGAATGTTCACAAAACTTTGCTGGGAGTACTCAATTAGCTGTGATATACCATCCTCACAGAAGCGCCAGACGCTAAAAAGTTTGAATACATTAATTTAAAATAAGTTTGTGTTACTTTGATGGATTTGAATCTGAAGTTGAATCTAATCCGGAGAAGTTTGAATCTACGCGGATGTTTTGGGATGAATTCAATATTTAAAGGATTCATAAATGGGTTTATCTTTCTCAAATATAAAAATATCCCCAGAAACAAGGAAATTGAATATTCAGCACAATCAAGAACATTCAGAAAAAAATGTATAGACTGCACGGAACTGATCAATCATTTCATACAACTTTTTGTATTGCTCATTTATTGGACTTTTCCGAAAACTTACTTCCCATCAAAACAGATCAAGTCTTTCAACCGAGGTGTCATTATAATTTACTAACTTTGCCGGACAAGGGATGTCGGTGTTGCATGGCAATTTTTGCGGACTAGGTTTTGGCAGTTTGAGGCAGTAGGCCTCGGAGATTTCTCTGTCGTTATTGGCAGTGTCCACGCATCTCGCAACAGCATCCAGGAAACCTGAATGAGATCAGCAATGGAAAGGTATGAAACATGTGATTCTAGTTTTTATAAAAATATGTGACAAAATTCAGAGAGTTCAACTTCAGTACGAAATCTTTCCTTTTTGCTTGTCCATGATTGACTCGACAATTTTCAATATTGTAACTTATTACAAGAATGAACTCGCTCAGAAATTTTTGTAAAGAAGATGTTTAATTTTTTCCTCGGAAAATAAACTTTATTTTTCTAAAAGAAATTTATTTCCATCTTCTAGAGCAGAACACTTGAAGATTCCTTCACTTTTATAAGTTGAATAACGTCAATTTATTTTGAGTTCACACGATTAAAATGCTAAGAAACAAGTAATTTGTCAAAGGAAACTATTATTTTTAAAATTCGCACGATTCAAGCTCAGATGCTTTTTTTTACTACGTTTGCGCTTTTTTTTTTTATGAAAATGGAATTAAAAATTCCTCTCTCACCTCCTCCACACGATGCAGAGCAGTTGTTGAAGCCGAAAAGTTTCCAAATCACCCGTTGCTGATTTTGAGTGTGCACATAATTACGTTTCATGTTCCAGTCATAATGAGACCAGCTCTTCCTGGGATTAAACATATAATTTTCTAGTCAATTTTCGTGCGAGAAAAGAGGTATGCCTCGTTAATTTTTTCAGGCGATTAGATTTTTTTCAGTTAGCGTTTTACAGAAACATCGGATTCCTTGAGGGTACTTTTTAAAATGTTTCCAAATTTGTTTAGGTCAATTGCTTATTCTGTATTTCTTTTTAAAAATCGGCTACCGAGTGAACAATTAAGTAATGAGGAATTATTTTAGGAATTCGAATTTTGAATTGTTTTTCATTCGTAATCTCTCGGTCTTTCCGCCCTCTTTCAAATGAAGTATGAAAAAATATTACAAAAAAGATTATTTGGGCTATTTTTCAATTACTTGATTTAAATATAGTACAGTAGTTCCAAAAATATTGACGAAATGCTGAACAGTATTTGAATTTACTAACCTTTCGCTGCGTAGTGGGATTGTTTTCGGCAATGCTGTAGAGGAGGAATTGACAAAATGCTTTCATTCATATTATAATCGAAGAAAAAAAATTTTCTCGCGTCCTAAAAATTACTGTACAGATGTTAACTTATTATGGTTACAGTTATTTATCTTGAAATGTTTGAGATACGCCGTTGAATATTTTCCAGTAAGAGCCCATCCAATTACTGTATCTTTTGGTTTAATTCTGGATTTATGTTTTAATTCCAATATTTTATATTGCATGACCAGCACGGACCTTGTGCACAAATTAAATTTTCAGAAGAAATTACCATGCGATTTATGATCGACAGCATGGTTTCGCGCTTTTTAAATTTATTTTCAAGCTAAATAACGCCGGACCGTTTCCAAATAACTTTAAAAACATTGCAAAATTTCTTGATGCTATTGAAACCGTGTATCAACAAATAAAATATCCAATATGGTCAAAACAGAACAATGTCACATATTGGCAGGATACAGCTTCCGTGTGCCATTTCCACGCAGTTTTGGTGGTTCTCAATTTTCAAAATTTTAATTCCAAGTTTGTGATCATTAGACGAGAAATCATATTGTTTTCTGTATTGCAGAATAACCAATGAATCTCTGTTAATGAAATGCCGGTTATTCAGAAAATTCTCAAAATAGTCGTCTTACTTGCGGAAACAGAAGAATAAGATTCAATTTCGCGGCGCTGGTCGACTTCATTTTGCCACGCGTGCTTTTCTTCGTCGTCGTTTTCGTCGGGGGGCTGCTCAAAGAAGCGATACGAAATCCCTTGGTTCCATTCTCTCGTGATTAGCTGCGATTTTTTTATTTTATTATTTTTTCAATAAAGAAGCCGAAGTCAGTAAATTTCTTTGGTCCCACTTCCCAATATCGGGCCAAAGTGTTTGTTCACGTACCACGACTTGAACGGGTTGCGTTAACGGGCCTCGGATCCCTGCGGACCCGGGTTCTCTCCGGGGATCGTCCGGAACCCGGAAGGAGAATTGCATTCCGGCCACGCGGGCGAATTCCGTGTCCTGGCGATGGGGCCGCCACGTGTATTTGCTGCCCCCAGCGATTGTGGTTCCACTGGGCAACCGGAAACCTGGGGGAGAAGAAGGGGGAAAAAATTGTTGCTCATTGAACATTTTCTCGTTGTCTTGGGGAATTTTCGGGAAGGAAGAGGAGGGGTTAGGGCGAAAGAGAGAAACTGCCTTTTGTCTTCTTTCCATGGGTCGGTATAGAAGGAAGTATTCGATCACGAACTCAACCTGGGTTCGAAAGGATTGGGTCCCCGAGACCCGAGGGTCGGCTTTATTGCGTTGAAACCTATTTAAACCCAGCTGGTACAATTCCAGGGTAATGAACAAAACCGAAACTAGTTTGACAACATTTATTTTTTTTTAGGTTTTGAAAGGAACCCGAGGGTTGATGAATAAGTTGCGTGATTTTTTTTTTTTAACAATGAATGGAAATGGATTCCATTTAAACAGAGCCGTGTTGAATAACTTAAAGATTGTTGTAAAAATTGTGCTCCCCTATTTTGAGATGGAGATGTGACACAGAATTGAACGAGCACCTCATTACTGTTTGAAAATGAAGTTCATTTGTATCATTTAGCATGTTATGTGCATTTTTGGCAGTCAAAAAGCTTCCAAATGATTCCAGAATATTCTTCACTTTTTTTAAAATCTGGATGTAGCCCATCTCGAAAGTTCTTAGATTCACAGAATTTTACTGGCGGTGTAAAATGTGAGGAATGGCGCATTGCTCAGCACAAAAGTTTTTTAATTTAGTCCTTTGATGCAATAAAATTTAAAAAAAATTAAAATTGAAAACCTTGTCCCGTTATTAGACTTGGAGTAATCTGGTCCAGGAAACTTGAGTACCGCCAGAACAAACATTTATTGAAATGTAATCACAGCAAGTGCTGAAAAGACGTTTGAACTATTTCTTGCACATTATTTTCACTTCAGTTTCTGAATGCAACCAAAATTATTTAAAATGCCAGCAATAGAGTGATAATCGAGGATTGAAACATCACCTATCCTGTTGGCAGACGGTTTCACGTGGCTGACATTGACGTATTTCGCTCCCGCCGGAATTGTTGTGACAAGATGCGTGCCAACGCCCATGTCATTCCGTGCAAAGAGCTCCGAAACCAAGGTCAAAGGTCGCTTTGGGAAACAAGGCTCCCTCTTCTTGCCGATGACTCCTTCGCAAGAAACTGGCTGTGAAAATAGGAAACATCACGAATCAGCGTGCCTTGGGAATTATCGGGTATGTATCGACTTTCCAGATGCCCATCGGCAAATGCAAATTCATCTGACACATAATATACAGTATATTAAAATTATTCAGTAGCCCCGAACTGTTTTTAGAGATCAGTGATTGGATTCAAGTCAGTTCAGGATAGTTTATAAGCAAAAGAGAGATTCAAAAAAAGGAATTTTATATAGACAGCAAACGCATGAGAAAAAAAAATGACTTCGCTCCAGCTTCAATTTTTGCATATTTAAAACATTTTAAAATTATCCAACAGCTTAAAACATTTTAAACATGCAAGGTTGGATCCAAGTCTGTCCATGCTAGTTTCTGCACAGAACGAGACATTCAGGAAATAATTTTTATGGACAAACGCAGGAGAGAAAAACTTAATTTCAGCTTCGAATGTATCCTTTTTATTCCTCCATACGAGGATTGGTCTATTATTTTTTAGTTTCATCTTAGGAAAAAGCAGTGGAAAATTTTTGAAACAATTTGTGAACTAGAATTTTCAGCTCAGAGATGCCGTTTGAGGCAAACACCGTGAAGACCCGTTTGCGCAAAAAATTCTGATTCCTAATCAAATGAATTCTCATAAAAACTGGCATTTTTGGGCCACGTCCATTTATTTGCATGAATTTTATTGCTTTGAGCTTCACGCTCATAAAAATATATATATTTAATACATGGAGGTAAGAAGCTAACCCACGCAAAAAAAAGTATTTCTAACATTATTTCAAAGATTTAAATATGCAACGGGATACTTTCATTCGTAGATTTTTTTTTCAATGGCGAGACGAAATTGGCAGTTAAAACTACTCAGAGCAAAAATAAAAAATAAAAAAGCAAGATCATTCTTCCGACTGCCGGCTTCATCATTATCCGGAATGTTTAATAGCGCCAGGGGGCTTTCGGAATTTTCAGGGAATCGCAGCAATGAACTGTTGATACACTACACATCCGGCAAAGGATGGGAAATTTCGGGAACAAAGGAAACACTAACGAACCGTGCATTTGCCTTTGATGCAGACATGGCGACCAGCGGGTTCTGCTGCTGGTTCCTTCGGGTCGCACGGCAACCCGTCGCCGACAGTCCTGCTCCGCGTGGCCACGAATCTTTGTCCTATCGGCCGACAATTCAACTCACACGGGGCCCCAGCTTTCAATCAAAAACAAACAAACAAAAAATTATTCAAAAGAACAGCTTTCATATACTTGAAATTGTGGAAAGCCGAGCGATAAAAAGTCTGTCAAAATTCTCTCGTTATTTTTTCAGACTAAAAGCTCGGGCTGATCCAACGTCAATCATGCTCCAACTTTTTGACAACAAAAAATCGCATATCCTCTGAAGAAGTTCCCTGATTACAATATTTGAAACTGTGTCTCAGCTGTGCTTTATATAGTCATATATATACTCAGCAGGGCGAAAATTGCGAAAAACATTTAAATGTGTGGGAAAATTGTCAAAATCTTATCAAATCATTGAATTCTTGCGCTTCTCGAAGAAAAACTATGGTTAGTTCAACGTCACAGTCCAGTTTTTCAGACCCGAAATCAACATCCTTACCAAATTTTAATTACTGAAATGAACGGGAAAATCATTGTTAAATCCAGCTGAATTCTCCCGTTTTTTTCGGAACAAAAAGAAACAAAGGCTAATTCAACGTCAATCATTCTCTGACTTTTTGACATCGAAATTCGGATCCGTTGAAAAACTTCCCTTTTCTCGCTCAAAAATAAACCAGCCTGAGCTTCCGTCAAATAACACATGCTTTTGTTGGGCATTTGTTGAAGTTTATTCTGGAATCGCGATTTTATTTTAAAAATAGATTTAGAAATACACCACCGGACCATAAAAGCATGGTGCTGTACTTCATTTTTCCAGTTTTACTGTATTTCGGGAATGATTTGATAGCTACAGTGTTTTGTTAAAATGGGTATGAAACACAATCACATTAAATATTTTTCTGGAGGAAGTGCGATGTTGCTGTTTTAGTTACATAAGATGGCTATCCTTTCAAATTGTTCAGGTATTTCCTTGAAAATGTTGAACGGATGGATACAATAAAAGAATGTCTTGATTACGCGCACCTTTGAGTTATTCTCAATACGAAATTTTCCCATTCAAAGTGAACAAAAACATCAATTGAGAACATTTTTGAAACTTTATATGCATTTTTGAAAGAATAATTAATACAAAAATTCAAGTTTGCAGCGGGAATTTTTGCTTGATAGCTCAAACCATTGAAACTAGTGGCAAGTGTATCACAGATTGCCTAAATGTTTCACTATCAATCAAATATTTGGAAAATATAAAAGCTCTCTTTTGACCAATAAGTTCAACTGCTAAGACGTACGTAAATCCGCTTTTAAAAGGTGCTTTTATAGATTGCTTCATTTTTCACTTGTGTAATTTATTTTGGCATTTTCCGAGACCAATTGATTTCAAGTACAGTATAGTATTTTATTGAGTGATTTTAGGATACACGCGGAAAATTCTATCGTCTTTCACCTTTTTCAAAAGGTTCCCATGTATAAAAATGCCCACGGCCGAACGATTTGTTGTTGAAGGCTGAACATTCCTCAGCTAGTTGGTCCACTTGAACTCCCGAACATTTCTGCGAGATATGGAATAAAATCGTCAGCTATGAAATCGAAGTTTTTTTTAAAGAGTTTTCTAGGAATCTCGTCCAATTTAGGGATTAATAAAGGAACCCTCGAAGAAGGAGAACAAAAGTCGCCGTCGATCTCGACGCTCAACAAAGAGCAATAACCCGAGACGAGTCCATCACGACATGGTGTGTTGATGGACTGAGATCGAAGGCTTTCGAAAGAGATCAATGAACACTAATCCCTTAATCCCATCGCGATTAAATCACTGGAAAATCCTTTGTTGATTCAATCCCGGATTTTTGTTTTTCATTTTCTTTTTCAAGTCGTTCACCTGGTCGTTGCAGAGGTGATACCGTTCGCTGACCCCCGAACACAATAAGTTGGATCCGCCAGATTTTCCCCTTTTCTTCTTGGATTTTGTGAATTTATCCCTGTGTCGGATTCTTCTGCGAAAAAAAAATACATACAAGGAAAACATATAATTAAACAAAAAATCAAGTCTTTCACGTTTTGAGTTCCAGGGGACTCAATTATTCAGTCATGATGAAGGAAATGAAGAAACCCTGATCTCGGATTCAAACTCTCGAGAGGAAATTAAACCTTCTTCGATCCAGGCCGAAAGCCGGTTTTTCCTTCCACGAATACCTTTGAGTAGAATTGAAATCTGCTGAACGAAAAGCTGGCTGAGGATAAAATGGAACCGCTTTGTCGACGCCAAGGACAATGACACACATACGTGATACAATCAAATGAACGCGTTGTTTATTGTTTGCTCTGGTGACTCAGCACCAACATTCCATGGGGAGAAGGAAAATCCCTGATGAACCTTGATGACACGTAAAACGAATTCCTGCATCTTTTGCTATTCATCGCGATTTGAAGTGACTTCATTAACGGGAATAGTGAATTTTTATCACTGCAGACATCACAAGATTCAATACGCTATCTCTGTCATTTCAAAGTCTTTTACAATTCAAAATGCACCTTAATGCAAAATTTATCTCATTGCTAAAAGAGGCAAATTTTTTGCCTCCTTTTTTTTTAGATTTTTCCATCAACTGTGCACAGTATGGCAATATGCTGTATGCTTGCTTTTTGCCTTTTAAACTCCGTTTGCCATACCACAATGGCAAAAGGGCAAATTTTCCGTGATTTGCTTCATTCACGCAATAATTATCCGTCTTTTAAAGTTGAGAAAAGCATTTTTGAATTTTTGGAGGACTTTTCAATCTTTGCCAATAATAAATCTACGAAATTTTTTTTAGAATGTCACAATGCTGTCTGTGGGAAAATATGATCTGAAGTGCAGATGTTTTGTCACGCAGACATAGCCTAGGAAGTAATTAGATTCATAATATGGGGCTTATCACATATGTACTGTGGGGCTTTGGCATACAGACACTCCATCATGCCAAAAATTTTTTTCATGGACAGCACTTTAAACTTTAAAAAAAGCCTGCCCCAATATCTGGACAATGTCTTAAGATTTTGACACTGCAAAAATTCTGAAGAAGCATTCAACATTCTAATAACTTGATCGAAATGATCTTTTGATAATCTGATCTTATGGCATTAAAAGGGCCCCAAAGAGCAAAGAAATTGTACAATTTTTGCAATATTGCGCACAGATGATGGAAAATGCTCTGAAAGCACCCAAAATTAACCTGTTTTTTATTTTAAACTTTGAGAAAATCTATAATGAAATTTATTTTGGATTCTTTTGAATATAAATAGCTCAATTAGTACCAAGAGATATCCAAATTTTGAAAAATGAAAATGTACAATTTTTCTATAAATTTTGGAAAAGCGTGTTCAAGTTGAGACATTCTTCATCAGTTATTGAGGCAGATGTTTTTATGTTTCAAATGTCCTGTTGGGGACTGTGCTGTGGAGTGGTAATTTAATAGAATATAAAAATCTTCCTTCATCCCAAAAAGAGGTCCTTGGTTGGTTAGAGCCACATGCAGAACAAAATTCTGTTATTGTCCTAAATTCTGTTTTAGGACAATAATGAACCAAAAGCTTTCTTGGAGCCTCTATAAAGAGACTCCCAGCCCATTCCTGGCTGATTATTGAGTTTTACTTTCAATTCTAATCAATTTTCTTTGTTGAAGAACTTCTGATCCCTAACATATGTCCCCAATTCTGGTCTCACTGTACACGGTGAATGAATGAACAGAAAACTTTACTTGCTGCTTTTCAGCATTCAGCACAAGGTACAACCAAAACTCCCGCATCCAAACCCCCTCCCCACCCAACCCAACTCTCCCAAAATACATTCAATCACTTCAAAGCATGAAACAAAGTATAAACCAATGACAAAAACAAAAGAGAACACACTCTACAAAATAAAAACTGGACATCCTATGCATATGTTGCATACACCCACCCATCCTAATCATATAAGGCCAAACATTTTTCTTGATCCTTTAAGAGTTCCAAAAATGTCTCTTCATTGAATTTCAGTAATTTTAAATCTTTCTTAAGCTGATTTCTATCTCTTTCAAATGCTGGACATAAGAATGCTGTACATGGTTACCACTAGAAAAGCGTACTTGCCTGTGGCTTGAACCTGGCTCTTGTTCAAGGAGGCACTTCCTCCACTGGGTCTTGATACCACCTCCACAGGGTTTGGAGCAGGGGCTCCAGGGTGTCCACTGGCCCCATCCGTCACTCCACTCCCATTGGACAGTCGAGGGCTCGATGATTCTCTCCTGTTGACGGAACACAAACAAGAACCCGGACCCGATTATTCCCTTCCCGGCGTCAAATATCCGGGGCTCTTCCTTCATCCCCTGGACACCGACAGTCTCCCATTTTTCTCATCACATCTCTCTTGTCCTGGTGGTCTTTATTTCCTTCGTGTCTTTCATCTCGAAAACGAGGTAAAGGCTTATCCGACTAATAGTCTTTGAGAGTGTGTCTCGAAATCCTCGGATTTCGAGAAGGGGATTCTCCATGTTCTCAGTCAACTTTAATTTTGTTTCAACTGATACGAGTATTGGGGGGGGGGGAGCGCCTTATTGCGGATCTTGTTAAATCAGTCGAGGATAAAATTCCCTAAAAAAAAGCCGTGAAAATTGACAAAGAAGTCGCAGTGTTCGCAATTTCATGCTCCAGTAAACCATGTACTGAATCATCTTCAATTTCAATTTCTTGGACAATCACAAGCCACCTCAAACACAGAATCAGATTTTGAAGGTTAATCTAAAAACCATTGTTAAAGGGGCTCAAATTGCATCTTAACAACTGAGTATTGTCTTGAGAATTGGTTACAGTATTTGCGTGAAATATTTGAAACTGATAAAAGTAGTTAGAGATTTCATCAGAATTCTGTGACCTGCCCCAAGCTGATTGTTATTGAATTTCATTAAAAAAAAGTTGATTCGAAGATCTAATTCAAATTGCAGCAGTCTCAGTGGCAAGACAGGGAAGAAATTTTCTGCATTTTACTCAATTTAATTTCATTTACCCTTTTCTAGTGATTTTTTTTCTATGTGCAGATGAAAAACACGGTCAAGGAGGACTCAACAAAATTTCAACGACCAGAAAAATTCGTTGCAGAGAGTATTTTGTTGTAAAGAATCCCTGTACAATGAGGAGAGATTCCTTTGGGACCAAGAACAATTTGTTATACTTTGAAAAGAAAATAGCGGCGTAGATAAGATTTTTGTAGAATGAGTTCGCCTTTATATTTTAAAGGGACAGAATTGTATTTATATAACCCGTTTCTGTTTGGTTTACAAACGTGAGAGAAAAATAACGTGCTACCAATAAGATTTTATTTGGGGAGATACAGAATATAGTTGCGTTTTTATTCTAATCCGTTGAGATTTTGTCAATCTTTCATGAATTTGGCATTTTTAAGAGCCTCCGGCACTTCTTTCCACAATTATGACAAATTAATCGAACAAAAAAATGTAAAAATTGTATCCAATCCGTAAGACTGTTCTACACATTCTGTGCAACCGGAATACTGGTACTTTCATTTTTTTTAAATATTTGAAGTCCACATATATGCGGAACCCGATCAGTCCCCGAATGGAAAGCACGGATTCGCGGAAAAACGTGGCGACACATTCCAGTCGAAGCTTAACCGCTCCCTGACTCCGCCCACAACATCCTTCACACTCCGAATAATCGGAAATCCGACAGACTTTTGTGAAACTTTCGAAAGTGTTCCTTTTTTTTCTGCCATTTCGACAACCAACAGACCACAACAAATATCTCCGGTTGGAAGAAGGCGAGAGAAATTTGTCAAAGTTTCTGTGGTGGGACGGACGGGAGGATTGAATGAAACCTCAGTGCATTTATTTCCGAGCTAAAATTCCATCTTCCGCCCCACACACGATGTCGTAAACAGATCAAAAGACGCATAAATTGTTGTGCCGGGATTTACGAATGCGAAAAAGCCTGCGAAGGGAAGAACTTTGAACTTTGTCCCGAGACTCGCTGTCAATATGCTTTACTGAGGTTTTTATTCGGGTCGGAAACTTTTCGGATAAATTTTGGGGTCAACTTTTATTTCAGGTTTTTTTCTAAGCTTAGAATCTGTGTGTGCCTGTGTGTGTGTTTGTTGGGGTATAATTCAGGGCTTGTGTGAGCAACGGGGGAATTTATGATCCACAACAAAACCCGCCTTCCGCATTTGGATTGCATTTAGTCCAACAAACTGACGCGTATTTTATAGCTTACCGTATTTGAACTTCCTTCCAAAAATTGAAAAATCCTAAATTTACGGAAAGTGATGTCGCTCAAGGAATTGGACTGTTTTAGTGCAATTTTCAGATATAGTCAGTTATAAATGTGTAGCTTTCGAAATCAGCCCGACGGTCAAAATCCCGAAAATGTTGTCAACGGCTGTAACTCGAAATTTTAAAATTGTTAACAAAGAAAATTTTCTTAAAATTACATTCAAGTGAACAAAAATGAACAGGGGCTTTCAATGGTGAGTTCTTACAGACCAGATAATTGTATCCCAGTTTGTAAATGAACATTTATAAATCCAAAGATCCTGAAATTCAGATGTTGTCGACCGAATTGAAATTCAGCACTCATAAACGACCAATGGAGAAAAGATTTCACATAATTTTGAGGCATTGCTTAATTGTTGTCCGTTATTAAATAAACAACTTCTGATCAAATATATANTGTCTCTTCATTGAATTTCAGTAATTTTAAATCTTTCTTAAGCTGATTTCTATCTCTTTCAAATGCTGGACATAAGAATGCTGTACATGGTTACCACTAGAAAAGCGTACTTGCCTGTGGCTTGAACCTGGCTCTTGTTCAAGGAGGCACTTCCTCCACTGGGTCTTGATACCACCTCCACAGGGTTTGGAGCAGGGGCTCCAGGGTGTCCACTGGCCCCATCCGTCACTCCACTCCCATTGGACAGTCGAGGGCTCGATGATTCTCTCCTGTTGACGGAACACAAACAAGAACCCGGACCCGATTATTCCCTTCCCGGCGTCAAATATCCGGGGCTCTTCCTTCATCCCCTGGACACCGACAGTCTCCCATTTTTTCTCATCACGTCTCTCTTGTCCTGGTGGTCTTTATTTCCTTCGTGTCTTTCATCTCGAAAACGAGGTAAAGGCTTATCCGACTAATAGTCTTTGAGAGTGTGTCTCGAAGCCCTCGGATTTCGAGAAGGGGATTCTCCATGTTCTCAGTCAACTTTAATTTTGTTTCAACTGATACGAGTGTTGGGGGGGGGGGGGCGCCTTATTGCGGATCTTGTTAAAGCAGTCGAGGATAAAATTCCCTAAAAAAAAGCCGTGAAAATTGACAAAGAAGTCGCAGTGTTCGCAATTTCATGCTCCAGTAAACCATGTACTGAACCATCTTCAATTTCAATTTCTTGGACAATCACAAGCCACCTCAAACACAGAATCAGATTTTGAAGGTTAATCTAAAAAGCATTGTGAAAGGGGCTCAAATTGCATCTTAGCAACTGAGTATTGTCTTAAGAATTGGTTATTCGCGTGAAATATTTGAAACTGATAAAAGTAGTTAGAGATTTCACCAGAATTCTGTGACCTGCCCCAAGCTGATTGTTATTGGATTTCTTTAAAAAATAAGTTGATTCAAAGATCTAATTTAAATTGCATCAGTCTCAGTGGCAAGACAGGGAAGAAATTTTCTGCATTTTACTCAATTCAATTTCATTTACCCTTTCCTAGTGATTATTTTCTTTGCGCAGATGAAAAACACGGTCAAGGAGGACTCAACAAAATTTCAGCGACCAGAAAAAATTCGTTGCAGAGAGTATTTTGTTGTAAAGAATCCCTGTACAATGAGGAGAGATTCCTTTGGGACCAAGAACAATTTGTTATACTTTGAAGAGAAAATCGGCGTAGATATAAGATTTCTGTAAAATGAGTCCGCCTGTATATTGAAAAGGGACAGAATTGTTTTCGTATAACCCGTTTCTATATGGTTTAAGAACGTGAGAGAAAAATAACGTGCTACCAATAAGATTTTATTTGGGGAGATACAGAATATAGTTGCGTTTTTATTCTAATCCGTTGAGATTTTGTCAATCTTTCATGAATTTGGCATTTTTAAGAGCC